TTGTTGTTGTGTGTGTGTGTGTGTGTGTGTGTGTGTGTGTGTGTGTGTGTGTGTGTGTGTGTGTGTGTGTGTGCGTGCGTGCGCGCGCGCGCGCGCGCGCGCGCTATGGAAAATTTAAATCTAGAAATTACCTGCAAAGGCGACTTCACGAGAAATCTCATGTATTGTTGTTCTGTGAGCTTCTCGATTGGGTCTCTGTGTATTGTAGTCTGATATTTTTTATAAAGCTCATAAGATTCTTTCGAAGTTTTTAGGTACTCGGAGCTCATTGGCGCAGTTCGTACTAGTCTCAACTTACACAAATAATTATTAAATTAATACAAATCTCAATCCATTAAGCGTGGAACATAAAATTATCATGAAAGTTAACGAAGGGACAACACGTCGATCGCATTTTCGTAAAATCGGTTACAATAAAACTGTAACGGTTTAATATATTATAAAAAACTGAATGACTAATCACAATGAAAAAAATATATAATACAATATAACTAAACACATAATAATAATATAAAAATATGTTGAATCTTCGATATAAAATTAGCATTGTTTAATAAAAATGTACTATGATTGAATTTTTGACTGGTTTTATCTTTTAATATATCAAAAATTGGAGAAAAGAGGACCATATTAAAAATGATGCATAAAAGAAAGAAGAACGATATTTTGTATATATAAAAAAAAGTCTGACAGAATAAGTAGTTTTTATTTAATTATCGGTGTTGTATTACCTCCAATTTTTTCAATCCAGTGTATATCTCTTCGAATAATTCTTCTATGTTCTTAACACAATTCTGTTGTTTCTTTTCTTTCATAATGCTCTCGATTTCACTTTGTGATTTACCTTGAGCCAGCAATTTATTTTTCTTACGTTCTATGCGTAAGAGCTTTGCTTTTTTGCAAGGCACTGCATCAGCAATTTCATTTCTAATGTGCAAAGTATTTTTGCTATCGGAATTTGTTGGCTGTACTTGACTACTACTTGAAGTGGAATTTTTTTGACTTTCTGTTTTTTCTGGATTGATAGACAATCTCTCACTGACTTCATCATCGACAGATGAAACATTAATTTGAGACTTATCTTTCTGCACTTTCATTTTATGCTTAGGATAATTTAATGCTTCTTCATTACTTATATCTACAAATGTCATAAGGTTAATGAACAGCTTACATATGTTGTTGAATACAGTCTTCATAATTCTAAAAATTTTACCTATATTATCTTGTTGATCATTTCCTGTTAGACTAGCACTGTCATTTGTCAATTCATTCCTTAGAAATTTGGTCATACGCTTTAGAATTTTTTTCTGAGACTTTGATATTTTAAAATCTAGTGCTTCGCATCTAAAACCATTATCCGTACAACATTGTTTAACATGTTGCTTTGATCCATATTGCCCAGAGTTAAGCAAGATCATATCTCTTTTTCTCTATTGATCAGGAATATTACTCACTTGATGGTATATTGTGGACAGCACGTCTGGTTCATAGTAGGTTTATAACAGTAGCAGCCGCTCCGTCTCCAGCCTCTATCTATCAAACTCTGATAGTCCTGCACCGTCAACATATGCGCCCACATACCTGATAACAAACAATTTATTTTACGTGGTAAAAGAATATAACTTTCATCTTGGAAAATATCAAAGGCTCACGCATACAAGGGCAAAGTATTTCAATGTCAACAAGTAGCAAAGTACTTTTACACTCACCATGACTGAAGTTCGTATTGGTGCTCTTACAGTAGCCGCACCGATAGCCCTCGTGTTCTGTAAAATATTCCACGATGCTATACGATTGTCCGCTGGCCATCTCGGCGGTTTCTTCTCGTCTTCTCGCGTGATTCTTTCAGTCACTCAGAAACCGTCAGTATACGTTGTAAAGGCCCAGTCTGCGCTCCGAAGTTAGGCACTGAATGGAAGTTGCCGCTATTCGCGCTTTGGCAACTATCCTTCAATGTTGTCAAGAATCAAGAATTATTTCTCCGTCCATCAATTTAGTAACGTCAAGTTACAACTCGTCGTTCACTTTGCACTCGTTGATCCCTTATCAAACCTGTCCAAACCTGTCAAAATCTGAATCACACTCATGAATATCTAGATACGGCGCGCTCGATGCGTAAGTGCCTAACTTCAGGCAGGAGCGACTCGAAGCGCGACGTTCCTAACCTATCACGCTCGTTGTTGACGTCAGAAGAGTTCAAAACACTTGGAATTGTGGTATGTAAAAACTCACAACAAAATCTAGTAAAATTGTTATATTAATTATTATATTTATTAATAAAAATTAAGAGCGTTGAAATTCAATGGCAAGTTGACAATTTCGATGAATCAAAAATTCTTATTTTTAGGAAAATCCTCCCGAAAAGGGAGGCTTGATTACTTACAAGCGCGATAAGCGCTCTCGAGTTCGCTTTAGAAACTTTTATGCCGGCGGACAATCGAAGAATGGAGAATTCCAGGAACAATGAAAACGCATCAACCAATCAAACATCTGCGCGTGGCGAGAGAGTAAGCGCTTTAATTGTTTATCGAATTGTAATCGTCAATAAAAAAGCAGGAAGTTAATCATTTGCATTTTGCAGAAGAGTACTCGGGGTTCGAGACAAAAGGCCGTGGATAATTTAAGCAAGAAGTTTTTGAGGAATTTTGATCCGGAGCACAGCGAACGAGAGAAGCGCAAACTATATCGTCGATTGTACCAGAGTCACAGGAAGCATGTGTACGACGAGAAGGGTATTTACATACGAACGTCGGATGATCTCTGCGATTGTTTAAGTCTAGATTGCCCTGGATGTCATTTTCCATGTCCTAAATGCTCTTCTCCAAAATGTGGTCATGACTGCAGGTAATTTTTTATAAAATTTTACTGTTTATCAAGTAAATGTAATGATATAAATGGCTCGTTTTATTATAAAATAATATATTTGAATTATGATTCTGTTAAGGAATAATCGCAAATGGACTTATGATAGCATCGTCCTCGAAGGAAGCGAACCTGTAATAAAAAATCCATTGTTGAAAGACACTGAAACAAAGTGAAAACGTAATTTGTAATACAACTCATATGCAAACTCTGCACAAACTTTGCAATATTGTCACAATATTACAATATTGCAACGATATTGTCGCAATATAGCTGCAAGATCTGTGCTGTATGGAAAATATTAGCAGTAAGAATGTGTACATAAAATATTCTCAAGCTAGATTCTTGTTTTTATCTCTCTTGTACAAAGTATATTTATATAATAAAGGATAGCGAATGTAATAAATTTTTAAATACATCTGCTAGAAAAAAAAGAAAAGAGAATGGTTTTTTTGTATGATTATACTTGGAGCTTTCAATATGTGTTGCAATATATGCTAAGTATTTTACATTATTTAATCGAGCGACTATCCTAATCAGCAAAATGTTAATAGATTTAGTAACAGATAATTAAAAAATGTTAGCAAAGTGACCTCATCGCAGTCTGTTTCTGTTCTCTTGACAGAATTTATTGACATTCTGTGCTAACAGACTAGCGGTAGAAATCAAGCAGATACGCAGAACTTAATTTCTGCTGCCAATCTGTCATGTTATGTCAGATTCCACTCAGTTTTTATCGCCAATCTATATTGACATTAGCAAACTTTGTTATATTTCTATCAATAGTTTGTGAATATCGTCAGTTATTACAGATGCTATTTGAAATTTGCTGCTTTTCTACCATCAGAAATTGATAGTATATTTTGTTCAAAATCTGCCTCTATAGAGGGAATTTTACAGAAATTACATTTGGCAAATAAATGCAACATAATGCTCTCTCTCCTCCAATTTTCTTAATTTTGTAAATTTATTTATTTTCATGCATAAAAAATATATTAAGAAGAAAAATCCTTGCACAAGTCCCGTTTTCTTTTTTTTTTTAATTTCAAAGTTTTTTGAACTTCAAGCCACATAAAAAAAAATGAAAAAAAATATGAGTTTTGAATCATAAATTATTCTGTGCTGCATTATATAAGAAAATAAGTTATGTTTTTAATTAATTAAAATAGAGAATATGATAAATATGCAGCCACAAATTATCATTTTTCACTTGTCAATGTCAAAAAAAGTAAAAAAAAACTTGAGCGATGATTTTCCTTCTCAGAATACATTCTATACATGAAAATATACAAATTTACAAAATTACAGGGAAATCGGAAGAGAAAGCATTTGCAAACCGCATATTTATCAAACATTTTGCCGAATTAAATTTTTTTAATCGAATCCCTGTACGATAATTAGCGCGAAGTAGCATTCACGGTATTGACAGGGGATCAACTATCGCCGAAATTATGACGTTCTCCGTCATCTGTGTAATTCGCGCCGACGGTGCACCTCGCGCGGTCACGCCACTGGCGCCATTCGCTCGCTCCACACATCCTCATCTCACACACATCTCACACAGAGAGACGCTATTGATTTTCAGAGGCGATACGCACACAATGGATGCATACACACACACACACACACACACACACACACACGCACACGCACGCACACACACATGCGCGCCCGCGAGTACATCCGCCTACGTACGCGGAGGGCGCGCGCTTCGTTTTCGCCCGCGAGATCGCGGGGGAGTTCGCGCGGATCCAGGAAAGAAAGGGAAAGAAGGAGCGAGCGCGGGATACAGTCATGCCGATCGCGGGAAAATCACGCGATACGAGTACCACGTCGTCGGTCGGTACGTGAAGGGAAAAGCGACGCGGCCAGGGTCGACCGTGCGCGCCTGCCGCTTTATACGCGCGAAGATAGCCGCGGCCGCCGCGAGACGAGCGGGACGAACTTCAGGGGGGTTGACGTTCGGGTGGCGCGCACCGCCTAGCGCCTAGCGCCTAGTTCGCCGCGTCGGCTCGCCGCGATTCCGTAACGAGCGTAACGTAACGAGACGTGACGGGACGAAGCGTGAACGGAGAACGGAACGGAGACGTGCGAATCGTTGTCGTTCTCATCCGCCGCGGTGGCGAACGCACGCACGCACGCACGCACGCACCCACGCACGCGTACGCAGCGCGAGTGACCCGACCGCGAGGAGCGCGACAGCCGTCGAGGAAGTCGTCGAGCGCGGCCGACCAGCGCGGCCCGCCTGCGGAACGCCGGGGAAGGAAGCCTTCGAAAGAGTCACCCGTCGCTCGACCGCACAACGGCAGGTTTCTCATCTTATCGATAACTTCCCGACCGCCCTTCGCCCGCCGACGGTTCCCCCGTTATTGGTTCACCCGAGGTGACGCGACATCGTCCGCGAGTGTCCCCGCCGGATGCAACCGGACGTCGCGCGTGACTGTCGATACCGACGACCATGATCGTCCAGGGTTAGATGTGTGCCCTCAATGGGTCCGCACTTCTCTCGTGACCGCGTTTCGCTTCTCACTCTTTCCCATCTCCGAGTGACGGCAAGGCTCTCGGTGCCTGCTTCGATTCGAAAAGTGCATGTCGCAAGTGCGATGTCGCGTTTCGCGAGGGAAAAACTTTGCGCGCATTCGTGACGCGTTCGCGTCGCTCTCGATCGGAATCTGGGACCATCGCGTCGCTCCCGACCGGGACGAATCTCGGCGCGGAAGGTAACGCGCTGCAAAATGTCGACGGCCGTCGATCGAGGCGAAGAATGATCTCCCGTGCGTGGCCGTCGGAGACGCCCGGCGAGAATGCGAATCAGGATTCGACCGGTCGCTGTCTCTCGACGAGACGCGACGTCGTGTCGCGATCGTGCGTCACGCGAGGCAACATCGCGAGTTTGCGTGTTCCGAAAGAAAAAAAAAAAAACGCGTTAGCGTAAACTTACCGGAGAGACGGAAATTCAAAGAGGTCGATCGGGGTAATTGCGACCCACGGGATGGGTGGGGGTGGCACGGCAACGATATTTTTCCACGAGCAACGAAGGCATCCCCCCCTCTCCCTCCTCCGTGGCGTTTCGTGACGCTCATTAGAGACGAAGCCGTGATGACGGCTCACGTGTTTCGTCGTTTAGCGTTTCGGGCAATTGCCTTCCTCGATTGCTTCTGCAATTTTGGAATTCCGACGTCGCGAAAGGGATCTTCGCGTTTGATTTCTACCGAATGTAAATACTCGATGATTGGCGAGTAAATTGTGTATTTAGTACACAGTATCGAGATTGAAATTTATCGAAATTACGTGAAAGCATCCGCGTGGAAGGACGGGAAATTCCGCTTCTTACTTGCGAGTCATTCTCGATCGAGACAGGGCGACTTTTTTCGTTTGGATAAATTTCGATAAAATTCGCGGAATTCTCTCTATTAATGATTTTAATTATATTTGATCGTTTGAATTTCCAATCGTTTGAACTTTCTCTCTTGCTCTTGTTATCAAGAAGGAAAAAAATTCTTCGAAAAGAAATTATTAAGTCGATTATTATATTATTCAGGCTTCATGCAATTTCCTCTTTTCATCATTTAATACACAAAGTAAAAAATGATCAATTTGAACGGATCTACTTTCAATTATCTTCAGAAAATAAATTTTGAAATTCGTAATTTTAGCATGCTTAGAACGAAACGAGTATAGTCAGATCGTGTTGAGGGAAAGGAAGAGAAAGATAAATTGTAACAAGAGGTAGATGATTTAAGTGGAAAGAACAGATTTTCGCGGACGTCCGGGCCGCGCTGGTCACGGCAAATTACGTATTCTTATGGCGCATGTAACAATACAAGCAGTAAGATTTAAAACAGTAAGATTTTACAATACAAGCAGTAAGATTTTTAAACAGTAAATGAATCGATTATTCACGTCCGAGAGTTTCAAAATGGCAATCTTACGTTCTGAAGAATTCCCAACTTTGATTAGTCAATTCGCTCTCGAGTCAAGTTGCTCTCGAGCTTCATTTTTCTTCGACCTAGCTCCCACGCTTTTTTATAGTGAAATAGATATGTTTATACACTCGGGAGTGAAAGGGCGTAAAGTATATATATATATATATAAATCCGGTAATTATGGAGAGATGTAAAGGACGGAGAGGCGCGGACAGCCAAGAGCAGACCCGCATGAGTCCACACAAAGGGAGGGGAGGTGACGGGGGCGCATACGGTTGGATGCGGTTTCGTGGGTGTCGTCACCGGAGGAGTATACGTCACGAGATATGCGCGGAAGGACGGATGTAACCTTTCGTAGGTTCAGATTATTAACCGCGTGGGCGAAGCGCGGAGCGGAGACCATGGCGTGCGCGTTTATACATGGGGTGTCCCAGATGACCACCGGATGTCCCTCTCCGTCGTCAATCTTGGAATCGATTCTTTTTCAAGGGAAAAACAATCGAGGGTCAATCGCGCTTTATTTCTCCCTCCAAATTTTTAGCTCGGACCTCCGAAAATCGCAATCTGATTCAATTTCCAGATTTTAAAGGAAGTTTAATTTGAAAATTATGGCACTTTTAATAAAGATTAAAAAAAAAATAACGGTCGTAAGCGAGCCTGTCGTATTTTCCGCCGTGAAAAAAGAATCGCTCCCCTCCAGATTGGTCGATCGGAAGGACGTCGACGGTGGTCTCGAGACACCCGGTACAGTTTGCGTGTCGTGCGGCAGGTCGGGCGGTGTAATCGGGGGTTGCGAGGAGAGTGATCGTCCCGTGTATACGCACGACGCACGCTCTCTCTCTCTTCTCTCCTTCGCCCCATCCCCCCGCGTCGTCTCTCTCTACGCGGACCCCGAGCGCCGGGGGTTTACGTCGCCGGGACGGCAGATGTCAGGATGCCGGAGCAGAGCAACGACTATCGCGTGGTCGTGTTCGGGGCGGGCGGCGTCGGCAAGAGTTCCCTCGTGCTGCGCTTCGTGAAGGGATCCTTCCGCGAGTCCTACATACCGACCATCGAGGACACCTACAGACAGGTAAGCGAGTGGTACGCGAGTGGCTGGGCTAACCCCCTTAAACGCGCGACCCTATTTTTTTTTTTTGTGCGGATGACATGCTCACAGCCGCGGTTTCTCCCAATCTGTATATAATTTATTTTATATTAATCAACCAGAAATAACGATCACTCCTCGATGAAAAGGATTTGACTGAAATCTGGCTCATATTCTCTCTTTTATTTTTACAATTTATTCATTTTCTTTTTTTTTTTTTCCTACGATAAAACTATGATAAAGGACTTAACCAGATAATCGGTTCAAGCCGAAGTCTAATCGTATTTTTTTTTTATTCCTTTGACTCTGAATTTATTACGTTGGATTGTGTTATAAGTGTAATATAAAGGTAATGTAATTATATTTAGGATTTTGTGTGTGCGATAGTTAATTCTAATTAATGTTTCACAAAGCTTCATTTCTACAACGTATTTGATAAATGTTGCCCGATTTTGATTCGTGGAAAAATTAATCAGGCGCGCACGTGCGTCGCGTAAAATTGCAAATCGGACCCTCTATGTCGCTAATTATAGATCGTGAAGGACGGTCTTTATGCATGTGACATGACGGACGCTACCATGTAGACGGTAATTTCCGCGAGAATCGAGATTTAGCGAGCGATTAATCGGATGTCCTCGTATCTTGCGCGCGTGCATACGCGTCCGCATCGCGATAAATCTGCCATTTGCGAATTTAATATTTCCATCCGCGCATCCGGTGCCGATAATACGGAACTGACGTACGCCAACGTGTGTGTGTGTGTGTGCGCGCGCGTGTATGTGCGTATGCGTGCGTTTGGTGTGTGCGAGGAAAAACATTAAATTTGCAAACGACTCGCCGTCGCTGCAACATCGGGAATATCCGGGGGCCAGTAAGCCGGCAGCGGTAAAGTAGAGAATTAACGGTAATAATACATATGCTAATCGCGGAAATACATATGCCGAAAGTACACGTCGCGTATCCGCGACCGTTTTACCGTTTTGTCCGACCGCGATAGGACCATTGGCGTATGCACGCCGAGTTAATTACGCGTTATGACACATTGCGTCACGGCACGTGGTCGGGGAGAACGACAGGTTGTTTAAATCGTCAAGTTCGTGACGGCGTGACGTTATTCATGGAAAATCCGAGATCTTCTCGCAATGCCGGGACACACGCGCATGCAAATCACACACCGATGAGTTTGAATTATTCGTGTTGCAGGTAGCGTGTGCTTGCGACATAAGGTGTTTTTTTTGTTTTTTTTTTGTTTTTAATTGAATTTTTTCTCTTATAGAAATTTAATACTGGAAGGTAGTGATTCATTATTTATATACAGCACTTTTGATACGCAAAATAAATAATTTTTAAATTCGCCAATATTAAATTGGATTTCTGTAAGAGAATCGATTTACCTTTCCTCCCTTTTTCTGTAATATGGAGAGAAAGAGAGAAAAGATGAATGATGCAAGAGGTTCAGCTAAAAAAGAAACAGGCCTATAACGACTCGATTATCTCGGTCATTCGCCGCGCGTTGTGCAACGATTTCGGTTGACGATTTTGTGCGTAACTCTATTGATTGATATATTTAGATATGCATACGCGTATACGTGAATTCTGACAAAGACACACGTGCGTATACAGCGCGCATATGTGTGCATTTTGTATGATAAAAACACAATGACGATGCTGGTGGGACTCTCGCTGTGTGCGCGACGAGAAGTGTTAACGATGGAATCGCGCGGGATTCTCAAACGTTCGCGACTCAATCGACTCGATTCATCAGACGTCCAACCTGCTTCGACTTGACTCGTTGAGTCAAGTCGAAACGAGTTGGTGGGCACGAATCGGGGATCGAGTCGAGCCGAGTCGCGATCGGCTCGACATCTTGGGCCTTATTCTCGAAAAATGTCGCATGGGAAAATCCTATAATATACGTATATTATAAATTTTCGTACGCGACATGTATAATGTAGATTTGAGATTCCCAGGCCTAGAGTCTTATTCTCGAAAAATGTCGCATGCGAAAATCATATAGTCTATGTCACATATATTATAAATTTTCGTATTATGCGACATGTGTACGGTATAGATTTGAGATTTCCAAGTCTGGGACTTTATTTTCGAAAAATATCGCATGTGAACATTTTATAATCTATGCCGCTATGTCTGTATTATAGATATTTTCATATGCGATATGTATGTGAGATAGATATTCGAGAATCTCAGGCCAGGTCGACACGCGATCGTGATCAATAGGTCGCATTTCAGGTGATAAGTTGCGACAAAAACATATGCACACTTCAAATTACGGACACAACGGGGTCCCATCAGTTTCCCGCGATGCAGCGGCTCTCCATAAGCAAAGGTCACGCCTTCATCTTGGTGTACTCGGTGTGCTCACGGCAAAGCCTCGAGGAGTTGCGGCCGATCTGGGCCGTGATACGGGAGCTCAAGGGTCAAGATATCTCGCAGATACCCATTATGTTGGTAAGGACTCGCCGCAACACCTCCATTTGTTTCAGCTTTCAGTTTCTCAGTTATCCCGATGCCGCAAAGCCGATAAACCGAACGAGCGCTTTCGAGCTCGTTTATAAATACACTGTCCAGCTTATCTTGCATCCTTTCGCGGCCTGAATAATCGTAAAAAACGTTTCTAAACGCGATATTATTTCGCGCGTGTCTCGTGAGCTCGACGAAAGCCGCCTGTCACGCACGAAGGCTCGAACGATGCCAAATATTTAATCATCACGATGCTCTTGCACTTTCACTTCTGTTGTTCAATCATTTAATATCGAATTAAAAGAAAAAATCAATAATATACTATTTTTTTGCTGTTTTTCGCTCGGGAGTTTTAGTCGAAATAAAGAACAGAGCGCCATTTCCTCGTCTAACAGCCTTCGGATCGAACAGAATACGAAGAAATCTGTGAATTCTGCAAATCGCGACGTACTCGACTCTTATTTTTTTCCCGGAGTTCAATTGACTCTCGGTTTAATTCGATTTTCACGAGAGAGAGAGAGAGAGAGAGAGAGCGAGAGCGAGAGAGAGAGGAGAGAGAGAGAGAGAGAGAGAGAGAGAGAGAGAGAGAGAGAGAGAGAGAGAGAGAGAGAGAGAGAGAGAAAGGGTGAAGAGTGAAAGTACGTGTGTGTGTGCAAACGACGACGAATAACAAGTAGATAAAAGTTGTTACGAGATTGGTTTTTGTTGAATAGTTGTAAGAATTTTGTAATGACTATGCTAGCTAATTAGGATTACAAACGAGCAGCAAGACACAGCACGACACATGATGTAACACATATATACGGGGCATATGTGAACACGCAGATTATATTAACTTATATCGTTGGGCATGCAAATTTACCGAAAACACACACACACACACACACACATCCACACACAATACACACATGTAGCCACAGATTTGTTGACAGGCGTGTCGCGAGAGACTACGAGATTGTAATTGTACATGTGATTACAGCGCACGTTTTCCATATCGACGCAGCGTTTTTAATGTTTTTTCCATGGGAAAGATTAGATCCGAGAGGCGTTTTTAGGGCGTTCCCACGGGAAATCTCTGACGAACATAGACTATTAGCGGAGTAATTACATCACGTATTCACCCTTTCTCCTTCCCCCGCCCTCCTTCTCCCTTCCATCCCTTTTGCGGCGCGGTATCGTCGAACGTTGTCCGCGATGGTGTTTCCCGTGACGCGCGTTTCTCGCGGCTTCCCTTCCCGTCACATCCCGGATTTCGCGGATATATCGGAGAAGAGAAACCGGAGCCGGCCTCTTCTTCCTCCTCGATATACGTTATATGTAACGTTCCACGGGCCACGTCGCGACGTCGTCGCACGTCCGCCGTCGGCGTCGATGCGATCGATGTAACATCACTGTCGCGCCGCGGCTCCCGACGATGATGTTGATAATGACGATGACGGTCCGCCTGCACTCGAACACATCTCGACTACCGGCTCCGGTGTGAAAGGCTGTATTTATAGCCGGTACTCGAGATGGATAGTGTCTCGAGGGTGTATCGAGCGGTGTGCATACGTTCATCAAGGACCTAAATCGAGCCCCAATCGACTCAATCACCACGTTCACACGTCCTCATAATAATACTCTCTCCCCCCTCCTCCGCGAAAACCTAGCCGAAACCTAGCCTTTGGAATATTCCGAACTCGAGAACTGGAGGTTCGGATTTTAAAATATCTATTATCGCGTGTCTCATACTCCCCTCCCCCGCTGTGAATACTCGTCCTTCGACGCGCTCCCATTTAAGTAATAAAAAAAAATGTTCTATTGAATCCTCATTGTTGTCTCACTTATGTTGCCTTACTTTACTTGTTATTTGAAGAACTTATTCTCTTTTCAATCCCGCTATAAATAACGGCTGTAAGAGATATTGGCGAGACTGACGGACGCACAGGGCGACGCGAGGCGAGGGTTGCTAATCGGCGATCTGACTAGAAATTGGAGATCACCCTTTGAACCAGTCGATAATACATCCCTTGGCCAAGCCGCAACGTCAGTTGTTGGCAACGTGAATGCCGTCAATTACAGTGATCATCGAGGCGAGCCGAGACTAGAAATGGCCATTCAGAGGAAGAGCTTCAACGTCACAACGAATATTAATATATTGATTAATATTCATTCGGATATGTCCATAAAATGAATTGGAAAAGTTAAAACTAATCTAGTTACATTTCAGACATATATATAAAAAATTTCGTAATCGCAAACGATGGAAATTCAAATGGATCTCACGAAAAAAAAAAGGACGTAGGTTTGTACAAGCCACTCTTGAAAAATGATATTTGAAAATAATAAAAACTATGTAGACTTTGATAAAAGATTAGATCGTCGATACCGATATCGAATTGTTGCCATTTTTAGTCGCGGCCACGCAAGAGAAGCCGTTTCGTTGCTCTACATATCCGTCGAAGAGAGATTATTCTATTCGGGATATTATTCAACGAATTAAACGTAAAATCACCCGATGATTTATCCCGCGATGTTCCTCTCACGTTTTTCGCTCGGGGGGGGGGGAGAAGAAGAAGAAGAGGAGAAAGGGGCCGAATCAACGGGACGGGAATTTGTTCCGCGTGATATTACGAATTCCTCCGCGGAGAATCGCTCGATTGGCCTTTAAGTTCGGAGTACTCGGTCCCACGGAAGCGAATTCTCTCGTGCTCGTTTTGACTCGCTCCTGATTTTCATCCACCGACCCCCCGTTGCACATCCCCTCGACCGCTCGGCATTCCGGACTCCGGCTCCGCGTTTCCGACGGAAAAGAAAAAAAAAAAAAAAAAAAACGGACGGATCCCATTCCCTTCCGTCGACCGTAATTTAATAAACCGAAACGGATTATTCATATCTCGTTGATATTAACCGACGCGCTGAGACGGTGAGACGGACATCGTCCTCGTGCGTATACGTTGTATACCAGTTACACGTAGTCGCGTATTACTCGATTGTTAGGCGTGCTTAAACTCCGCTTCGTCTTAGGTAATTTGTCGGCCGTTATCGGCAGTACATTTTCCGCGCGACGCCGTTAAATCGCGTGTTAAACGGCGTTTCCGGCGCTCTCGCGAACAGCTCGCTAATTTCCCGCCTCGCGGATCTACCGTGCCGCGTGTTCGAAAGGGCGCCGGTATCGTCCCAGAAATTCTCTAATTTCCGCGCAAACAATCGCGGGAACGAGGGGTGGGGGTGATCCACCCCCTTTCCCGAAATCCTCCCGACGACAGGAAGGAGCGGCAGTCCCTCGCGCGCCGATCTTCTTTACGAGAGGCGCGGCCCTTTTTTACGAGAGAAAAAAAAGAAAAGAGAGGACCTTGTTTATTAAATCATAATATACCGTATTTAAACGTAGCGTGTAACGTGTTTAATAATGATCGTTAATAATCCGCCTGAGAGAGAGAGAGAGAGAGAGAGAGAGAGAGAGAGAGAGAGAGAGAGAGATATA